ACCACTAATGGGCTTCAAACTCCAGCTTCAAAAACATTTTCAATGCCTCCTTCTGGACATTCACTAGTATCTGGATTCTGGCATTAAAAGATGAAAACTTAAGGACAGGACTTCATTTTTATCTACCATGCTGTCAAGAATAAAATATCAATCATTACTAAAGAGAAAGAATGATATCAAACATAGCTATCATATATGTGAGCAAAGACGATCATGATGTGGACTGCTTTGTATTCACTGTCTTGTTTTAAACTGTAGTTAAAATGCTCAAGATGGGGCCCTCCCTGGTGGCGTAGCGGGTTAAAGCACTGCACTAAGAAGCTTAAGCCACTTCCGCATGAATTCGATCCCTGCTTGCCCCAGAGGAGACCACATGGCACAGCAGACCTCTCCTGGCCCGCCCGCTGCTCCCCTCAGCAGTGTACTTCATCGATCTGCCTGTTCTGAAGCTCCCCACTCTGTCTCTAGTGAATCCTCTCACCCTCCGCATCTCTGGCCTGTACCCCATTCTATATAAATAAATAAATCTTTAAAAAAAAATGCTCAAGATGGGTAATTTTCAGTACTACTATGGCTTACATTTTCTGCCTTTCTACCTTACAGGATTACGTAATAATACTGTATCACAGAGAAACTTAGTAAGCACTCCAATGTTCATTTTCAACTATCCCTCAGAAGTTTGAGAAAGTCTCCATATGGAGGGCATCTATTAACATTCATCAAACATACTTTTCTTTTCTTTCTTTTTTTAATCACAAATACTGAGGCACTTCTGCTCTGCTTAGGATGGCACTATTAATCCTGTGTCCTCATCTGGCCCTTCTAACTTTGCCAAAGTTGCAGTAAGGATAGGCCTTATGTTTCAATGGAATGACAACTATTAAGGTTGAGTGGCCTCTCCTGCCATCAGCACTTAGGTTCTTGACCATTAAAGTCCTGTTAAAGTTGACTCTTTAGAAAACACCATCAATCAGTAATTTGAATTAAGAAAATGAAAAAGCGGTCCTGCCCAGTGGCGCAGTGGGTTAAAGCACTGAACTAAGAAGCTTAACACTTTCGCATGAGTTCAATCCCCGCCTGCCCCGGAGGAGATCCACATGGCGGAGATCCACATGGCGTGACAGACCTCTCCTGGCCCGCCCGCTGCTCCCCTCAGCAGTGTACTTTGTCGATCTGCCTGTTCTGCTCCTCACTCTGTCCCTGGTGAATCCTCTCACCCTCTGCATCTCTGGCCTGTACCCCAGTTCTGTATGCATAAATAAATAAATCTTAAAAAAAAAAAAAAGAAACTGAAAAAGCAATGAAGCTATCTGAAATCTGAACTGAATGATTTCTTCTTTGGCAAAGGACCTGATTCATAAGATGAGCCAAAGGATGAGCCAATGGGCAATGTAAATTCTTCTCTCCGAGACTTGTTAATTTTACCATGAGATGATTTACACAGGTTCCTAAGGAATGCAACACACCTAAAGGTATTCTGATTCCCCTTTACCACCTGAATCTGTTATTATGACCTGTCAGAGGTCTAGGGGGAGGGGTTAAGTACACAAGTAGCAAATGTTCTGAACCTTTTAGACCAGGCCCAATATAACCACCAGTGATCAGTGTTGTAAGCAGAAACAAGTTCCCCAGGATCTATGCAAAAAAAAAAAAAAAAAAAATCTAAATTTCTTTACCAGTTCTATAACTATCTATAACTATCTTAAACTTCCAATGGGTTGCAGGCATCTTGAGGTAATTATGGGTCACAGCAAACACCTGCACCTGTCAAACCCCAAATCTCCACCTTTAAGCTTCCTCTGAGATCTGGAAGTAGGAACCTGAGTATTGTCTCCTCATGACCAGATCTAAGGCCTCACCAGTCTCACAGCTCGTTTAAGATAGCCATATGGAATTGCTCTGTTATTAACACCATCTACTCTACTACCCCACTAAAAAACACCAACTCAGAGCAGCTTTATAAGCAAGATTTTTAGAGCCAAGCTAAAGAAATAACTTATGACATGAATATATTAATTGTAAAGTGGCAAAATTGCAAGTATATGAATTACTACAGGAATATCTTTTCAGAATGAAGAAAAAATCAAATTAACCTTTCGAAAGTGAGTTTCTTTCCACTTTTAAGTATGTATTCAAAAGCAAACAGGGATAAAGCTAAAATTCCATTACTTTTAAAAGACATCAAAGATAACTATTGTAACATTTTAAATAAAAATAATACTGCATAAATAAAAGGACTCTAATAAAACTAGTTGGGGGCTTAAAAACTAGGTGGAGGCTTAATAATGATACAGTCTTATATTTTTAAAATAGCCACATGCTTTCTTCTTTCTTTGGTTGAGGAAGACTTTCTCCTTTTAAATCTTCCTATGTCTACCAAAATGTTTTCCTGTATCATAAGCCAGTAACTGTTCAGAAGTGGACTACAGGTTATTAAATTTGATTCCTCCTCTGGTTCTCATCCTCGGACACATTTCACTAAATTAGAATTTATTCACATTGGTAAAACACTTTTAAAACTAAGCATTGAAAAGGCTAATTTTATATTATCTTTCAACTAAATCTCAAGGAAGAGAGGGAACAAAGAAGAAAATAAAGGAAGAGAGGAGGTTGGGGAAGAAATAACTTGGGGAATAAAGACATTTAGGACTATCAGAAGACACACAGGATTAGGGAGCCACGCCTCAGGTGGCAGAGCAGGAAATCAGCAATGCAGTCTTAGACCTAAAATACAAAATAGGAACAAAAGCCTTCACTAGAAATGACGCGTGGTTTAGATGATAAAAGCCACGCACATCGCACAAGTGTACGAATACTACTGCTACATTAAGCAACCAGTTTGTACAAGTAATATTTTCAGTAATAAATACATTATCTTCAAGGTTTTTTTTTTTTTTTTTTTTTTTAAGTAGACGATAAGGCAAGGCTGACAGGCAGAATGTACCAAATACAGTTCACTCAAATATTTAAAAAGCTCCATTCAAACAGTTCTCTAGTCTCTTTATACCAGAATAAAACAAAGGTTTTTTTTTTTTTTTTACCAGATTTCCAATGGGGTTCTCCCAAGAACTGTTCTCAGGATGGTGAACTGGGAGCCCCAGGTGTTTATCAGTACTTAAAATGAGAGGACCAAAGTACACTCTTTACTGTCACTGAAAGCTCAATCTAAGGTTTTCTTTTCTTTTTTTAAATTTGTTTATTATTTATGCATACAGAACTGGGGTACAGGCCAGAGGTGCAGGGGTGGTGAGAGGCTTCACCAGAGACAGAGTGGAGAGCAGAACAGGCCGACTGACAAAGTGCACTGCTGAGGGGAGCAGCAGGGTGACCGGAGAGGTCTGCCTCACCCTGTTGGTCACTTCCTGGGCCAGGATCAAACTCTCACTGAAGCGGCTGCTGCTAGCCTCATAGTGCTGTACTCTAATCCACTGTGCCACCAGGGAGGGCCCTAAGATTTTCTCATTAAGAGTCATCAGAGCTGTAATTTCTTCATCTTTTTACCACTCTGAAGTTATGCAGATACTTTATTTACAATACCAGAAATATAAGACATAAAATGAATTCTTTAAAATTAAATAGCCTGCCAAACTGCTTTATCAAAAACTAGCAGACACCTTTGACCAGAACACTGAACTTTGTTCAAGTTGTATCTTCATTCAATATTAAGACCATCATCAACACAAACATCAAATGTTAGGCACTAAAGATAGAAAACTGAGCCCCCGCCTTTGAGGCAGTCAGAGTCATCTGAAAGCGACATCTGAGCAAAACATCACAACGCCTGCTGATTAAGTCTTACACTAGAAGATATGAACAGCCCTGTCATTCCTGAGGACTATGCTCAAACTGTTCCAGAGAATCCGACCATTAAGTCCACTTGTGATCAAGCAGTTCAGCGAGTCAATTTGTAAGGTCTCTTCTTTTAAAAATAAGGCAGGACCAAAAGCTCAAGGTGGAAATTTCATGAAGATCTTGTTTGTCAAAAGGTCTCGTGCCAACAAGTCCAGTTTGTTGTTTGCTATATAATCTCTATATTAAAAAAAAAAAAAAAAGCCTAATCTCTGTACCAAAATCCTTTTTCCTCCCCAAACTTAACCTTTTCCTATATTCCTTTTCTTGGTAAGTGATAATAACATATAAAAAATAATCTTCATTGGCCAACTAATCACCAATTTCTATCGATTCTACCCCATACTATCTCAACTCCATCTACTTCTAGTTCCACGGTACCATCATTTCCTACCTTGAAGGTTTCCAATAGCCTCCAAAAGTCTTCCTGCCTGAGATCCCTTATACTAATCAATTTTTTCTCATCTGCAACAATCTTTTATATTCATATTGAACCTCTCTCTGTTTTCTCAATCAATAGTGCTTATTCGTCATAGTCTTCCAAGACTTTCTCAAGGGAGAATCAGGAGATACTCCAACTGACCATTCAGCACCCTCTGCTTCTCCATTATCATACTTAACCACACACAGTGTTTTCATTGTCTGTTTACAAATCCCAGGATACTGTAAGTTTCTTAAAGACAGAAATTATCTTACATATTCTTGGATTTCCTATGTAAATCATTATACAGAATCACATTTGATAACCATTTGTTGAAAGCATGAGTGAATGAATGAACAAATTGCAAAGAAAGCAATTTAATGTACAACAACTTGTCATAGCATTTATTATCCATACTACAGAAACCTAATTCTTTAGTGAGATCATATTTAAGTCATAAGACTATCACAAATAACCTGCTTTTACTGAGACAAAAATAAAGAAGGCTACCTCATCAACTCAAAAATCAAATAAGCTTAAAAATGTACTTACATTTTTACCTTACTGGTATAAGCTTAATATATAGCTTAGTTTCTGGAGTAAATACACACATGCCAGAATCATGGTACATTTTAAAATAAAATGTAACTACATAAGCACTATTACTTTCACAGCTAAAATGTTACTTATTTTTTAACATAAATGAAGCGGCACTTCATCAAAGACTTACCGATTCTTTTCCAGCTCATTATGTGTAGACCTAAAAGGGGGGGAAAAAAGAGTATTAGTCATGTTTTACTACTAAGGCTAAAGAAAAGGGCATTCATTTAGTTATTGCTATAACATACTCAGTGAATTTATTTAACAATGCAGTGGATGGTTAGATTTCTACATTCTCACTCATCAAGAAACATTCCTTAGGAATGTTCACTCTGAGATAGTGTTTTCAGGGCCTCTCTGGTGGCGTAAGGGGTTCAGTGTCAGCACTATCAGGCTGTCAATAGACACTGCAGCTCTGACCCCCAGCCATGGAGGCGACCTACATGGCACAGCAGACATCTCCTGTCTCGCCTCCTGCTCCCCTCAGCAGTATGTTTTGGTCAGTCCACCTGCCTTGCTCCCCCTCTCTGTCTATGGTAAGTATTCTCACCACACACCCCAGAACCTTTGGCCTACACCCAGCTCTTAGATGAATAAGTCAACAAGTTGTTTTTTGAAAAAAAGGTAATGTTTTCAGTGAATAGTTTGATATTCTAACACTATTTCATTTTTATTTTAGTAAAATTTATATAGGCACACATTCTACTGCCAGCACTCTACATTTTGTGGACTGTAGTGATATCAGATTTTAATTCAAACATGATTCCATTTTTGTTTACAATTTTTTTTAAAAGGTGGATATTGTTCTGTGGCTTCTTCCATTTCTATTTACTCACTCCTACCTGTAGGAAGAAGAAAACTGTGCCTAGTATAGAAGCTATATACAGGCTTGCCTTATTATTATGTGATACACATTCAAAGTGTTCTGCCTTTTATGTGAAACATAAACAAGAAAAAGTTACTGTCTTCTGCTCACCTTCTGTTTTCTTAGCAGTTTCATAAGGTCCAAGTGACACCAATTTTCATTTTCAAAAGATTATCTTAAGAAAAGGACTTATCCCTCATAGGAAGTTTTTTTAAAAAGTCTAAACTGCCTCAAGAATTCAGGCAAATTAATGGTATGTGTACAACTCAGATGGGAGAAACAATAAAAACCTAAAACTTTCAGTATAAGACATTCAGCACTCAAAACCCAAAAAAAGTAAAAGTTTATAAAATTCTTTGTATTGCCATGAAATATCAAAGAAAATCATTATGCTGAAAGAAGGAAAAGGTATACTTAAAGAGATTTAAAACAAAAAATACTGTTCAAAATTTCACCAGGTAATCAGTAAATCTCCTTTCAGAAAGTGTTAGTTTAACTTGCCTTTAAGAAGTAAATTTAGAACACCATAAAACAAAGACAATGAAATACTAGAGTAAGCAATAACTGGAAACAAACCATTCAGAGGGAAGTAATTAGCCATAAACCCAGTCTAAATAGCCCAACAACCCCACCTATAGCAATAAATGCAAAACAAAATATACCCAAAGATAGCCAATTGTTGAATTAAAATATTATATTTAACCTGTTATCAAAGCTAGCACCAAAAGAGCCATCTGACCTACTGCTGTGAATAAAATTAAAACAGCAGGTTCTTTCCATTTCTTTCAAACTTTTCTGTATTATTTATCTTCCTTCCAAAATACATATTTAAAAAATGGCAGCTAAAATTCTGAATTTCTCACCAAACAAGAAAGTGCATGTCATATTTAGGCAGAATACCAGTAAAATTTAACAAGATTTCCAAATACCAAGAAGCAAAAAATGATTATATATATCTGCTAGTCTTTGCCGTATCACCATGTTCCTCCATTAAGAAAAATAAGCATCAGTAGTGCTGACTCCTATTTCCATAGAGTTTTTTGGCCTATAATATCACATCAAATAGTATCATCAATATTTAAGATATCTTATTAGGCTGTTGGAAATCAAAGACAGTCTCTGATTGGTAAATTAAAACATGTACAGAAGTAACTTGACAAATAACTCAAAGCAAAATAAATATATGGAGAAAAGAACAACGGATAATAGGAGTTAACAGAGAGATGCTAACTTCCAAATGAGGTGACAGGTAGTGTAGAATTTAAACGATGAGTATAATTTTTATTAATAGCAGCTGGACCTGGTGAGAAGAGGCTGTTCCAAATGGAAAGGATTGTATAATTACACAAGCTGATTTGTGAAGGACTAAACAAAACCACAGGACAACAATGAACAGGTCATAAGGACCCACTGAAAAAGTCCTGCATTTAAATATCAACTCTGTCACTCACACTAGCTGTGTAACTTTCGACAAATTATGTAACCTGTCTGGTTCAGTTTCCTCATTTCTAAAATGAGAATAATACCTTGCCCGGTTTAATGTGAGAATTAGAGAAAAATATGCAAAAGCATCTTTTATGTAACAAGTATTCAATAAATGTTTGTCACTAAAAATTTTAGCGAGACTAAAAATACCCAACTTCAAACAATGTTAAATATGTTACATGGGACAATAAATTGATAGGCCCTTAGTAACACTTGGACTTAGTCTGGAAATAAACAACCAATTACAATGATGAAAAGAGAAAATGAAAGACAGCTATTTTAATCTATTAGTCAGCTGTGAGGACAGTACAAGTTTAGGGTATAGCAGAGAGAAAGATGCCTAGTTATATGTACATAGAGAAAATAATGATCCAAACAGTGCCAACATTATATGAGCAAGTGGATATATCATATACCAGCACACCCAGAACTAACTGCTTTGCTTCTCTGAGCCTGTGTTCAAACAAGCCCTTCCAATAACATACCATGAAACAGTCAATTATGATAAATTCCCTGTAAGTTTGAGATGTTCTGAATAATCCATGTTAGTTCATTTTTCTCCTCCAAATAAGACACTTCTGACAGCAAACACAAATAATCTTCTTTTTAGACACCCTTAATCTGAATGCTTTAACCACCTCCAAGGACAGAAAGACATTTCTATCATTTTATCACTGAATCACAGGTAATCTTTTCACAAATAATATCCCTTTATGAGCGACAACATACTGCCTTTTGCATTTGAATGAATTTCATTATCTCAACCAGATCTGTAACTTTTCATTGACTATAACTCAGCTCTAATACATAATTTTTAATTTTTTAGGGTATAGCTTGGTGGCAGTCAATGAAATGAAGCATAGAACTGAAACTAAACAAAATGTTAGTTTGGTTCAAGAGTTGTGCACCATGGAAGAAAAAAAATGAAAGCCTCCATTTCCAGAATATTCTCTTCAAGCAAAAGAAAGGGCCCCTAATTTTCTGAATTAATAAAACAATCCTTACTTTGTTCACATTTTCAATGACTTTCTAATCCTTAAGTGCCTAATAGATGTCACCCTTATTGCAATAAAAAGAACAAAGTCTATGAAGCTAAATTATCCTCTAAATGCATCTGAAAGTTTATACTCATATACACATATTTAAAGAGTGGGAAAACAGAAATGTTCAGCTACATTAGAACAGGGATCTCTAAAGTATATACTTGAAGGGGAAAGAAAAAAAAATCTAAAATTAGTGAATAGTAAAACTTCTATTCATATTTATTATTCTTCTAGTCATATTTTACTCTGTACTTACAAAAACATTACCACAGTAACACATGTATAAAATTATAAACACATATACTGGGGACAATTTTTTTTTTGCTGCTTCTGTTATAGATATCAATAAAGTTTGTAGTACACCATAATCAAGTTAATTGACAATAAGGTAATTCTTTCAAAAAGGGAGTGCCTCCCAGTTGTTTCTATCAGAAGCACATTACAAAACCATTAAAGACAGTAAAACTTGAATACTGCACTTTCAGAAAAAAATGCCTCATAATAAAGATGTTTCTCCCTTAACAATGACAAAAACATAACCACAACAACAATCAAGGCTACCAAGATGCAGGTGTCTAAAAAATGATGCATAACAGCAAAATCAACATTTTTTTCCCTTAACACTTACATATCAAAGCTAAATACAGCACACTTAATGACTATTTGCACTCATAGGAAGATACCAAATATATAATATACATAGATATATTCACCAAAGAACATACAAAAGAATTATCATTCTTTTCATACTATCCAAAAGCTAGAAACAACTAAAAAATCCATTAGCAATAGAATGGATAAACAGTGAAATATTCCCTAATGTAATCCTACTAAGCACTGAAAATGAAGAATGATTATATATATATATATTATATATATAATTATATGGATGAATCTCCACAATTTCAATACAAATGTTGAGTTTAAAAGGAAGACACACACAAAATATAACTCCAATCATTTAAAGTTCAAAACTGGCAAAACTAATTTATGGTATCTAGACTAGCCATGTCAAAAAGACCAACCATATGATTACAGGGTTGGGGCTCTGAGCCAATGATATCAGCTAACCGCAAAATCTCCAGGAAAGGAGCGTTGTTAGATACTGAGTTAAAATGTGTGGGCAATGACTCACTCATTGTGACTACCTTAATGCAATAAAAACTCTGGAATCTGAGTGAGCTTTCAGGTGGTGTGCTGGTGACCACATCAATATGCTGGAAGTGTAAGGTATCCCAATTCCACAGGGAGAGGTCACAGAAGTTCCATATCCTGGTCTCTCCCAAATCCAGCCCTATGTGCCTTTATTCAGTTGGTCCTGATTTATGATATTTATAGTATAACTTTTAATCATAAGTGTAGCACTTTCCTAAATTCTGTTAGTACTTCCAGTGGATTATAGTACGTAGGAAATTATGGGAGGTGTAGATGGCCTGGGAACTCCTACACCTGCAACTGTCATCTATAATAAGGAGAGTCTTGTTGGGGACTGCTAACCTTAAATTTGTGGAGTCTATGCTAACAACAAGTGGTCAGCATCAGAATTGCAAGACACAACATCAACAAGCAGGGTTTACTCCAGGAATGATAGCCTGGTTTAAAACATATATCAATGTAATCTGCCATGATAACAGAAACAAAGAGAAAAACCACAGTATTATCTCATTAGATGTAGAAAAAGTATGCAACAAAATTCAATATCTAGTCATGAAACTTTTTTGAGTTAGTGAGATTTTAAAAAGGGGCTTACTTTTTTAGCCTGTTAAA